GCCTGGAACAGATTCTTCCCTCACAGCCCTCAGAAGGAACCAACCCTGTCCATTCCCTGATTTTGGATTTTGAGCCTTCATACTGTGAGGAAATAAATTGTTGTGTAAGTAACTCAGACTGTGGTACTTTATTATGGCAGCTCTAGCAAACTAATATACCTAGTCTGGTTCCAACATTTATCTTGATCTCTCTTATCCCCTAAGAGGAATTCCAAGGTGTAATATGCAAAGATTCTTACTGGACCTTGGATGCTTTGTTTAGGCCTTCATGTTGTTTCCTCAAAATGCAGTAACCTCCCTCTATTCTGCACCAGTTAAAATCCCACCTATTCTTCAGGACTGACAAAATCCTTCCCAACTATCCACCTTTGACCAACTAGGCCTACAACATCAATCTGTCCTTTCTGTGACGAATTACAAACCCTGATACTGATTCAACTCAAACGATCAATTAATCAGCTAATTCCCTTAATTATAACTTGTTTCCAGTGTATGAAGAAGAAATCTCCGCATTATTCCCAGCACCTCCTATGTATTATCTTCTCCAAGGGGACTGTACTTGCCCACAAGAAGTTCAGTCCTTCTTACAAGCATACAAACAGTATGGAAATGACTCAGTCTTAAAGAGGCGGCAGCTTGGGACGCCTGGGTGGCTCAGTTGGTTGGGCCGCTGCCTTCGGCTCGGGTCATGATCCCGGGGTCCTGGGATCGAGTCCCACATCGGGCTCCTTGCTCGGCAGGAAGCCTGCTTCTCTCGCTGCCTTTGCCTGCCTCACTGCCTGCTTGTGTGTACTCTCTCTCTCTATCTCTGGCAAATAAATAAAATCTTAAAAAAAAAAAAAAAGAGGCGGCGGCTAACTGACATTTTAGAAACAGCACAAGACAGGGGTGTCAGGAAAACATCCTCTTGGACAGTCCTTCATTCAGAAGAACAGGACTCTTTGTCATGCGCAGAAAAAGTATGCACAGGTTTCTAGGACAGAAGATAGTAACCACTTGGGCTCTACCTTGTGAGAAACGAGGTATTTTTCTGATAATAGAAACCCCAATTCTCTCAGTGGCCCAGTTCCATAAAGAGAGGGAATAATCTTTTATTTAAAAAGTTTAATGAGCAGTCTCAACTAGAGAAGCTGATGGCTTACAATGAAGCCTATGAAAATGAACCTATGGCAGTTCCTGACCTTGAAGATAATGATCTAACTGGACAGACAAATATATTATCAGAAGACTTCTGGCAATGTATGAAGTAAAGTTGGGGTTGTACAGATTCGGAAAAGGGAAATTAGCCCAGAGGGAGACAAGGGGAAAGAAAAGAGTATTGTTTTCTAGATGAGGCAACCAAAGCTAACTCGTGACACATAAAAGCAAAAAGCCAGGAGCGCCTGTGTGGCTCAGTAGTTAAGCGTATGCCTTCAGGCTCAGGTTATGATCCCTGGGTTCCGGATGGAACCTGCATTTGCCTCCCTGCTCAGCGGGAAGCCTGCTTCTCCCTCTCCCACTCGCCCTGCTTGTGCTCCCTCTCTCACTGTGTCTCTCTCTGTCCAATAAATAAATAAAATCTTAAAAAAAAAAAAGTAAAGAGCCAGACCTCACATCCATTAGAACGGTCACTATCAGAAAACATCAAGTGTTGACGAGGATGTGGAGTGACCAGAATCCCTGTGCACTGCTGGTGGGAAATGGAAAATGGTGCAGCTACTGTGGAATGGAATGGTGGCTCCTCAAAAAATTAAACATAGAATTACCACATGATTTAGCAATTCCATTTCTGGGTATAAAGATCCATTAGACTACTAGTGTCTTGAAGAGGTGTTTGCATTCCTATGTTCACAGCAGCATTATGTGCAATAACCAAAAGGTGAAAGGAACCAAAATGTCTATGACTTGATGAAGAAATAAAAAAAAATGTGGTATATATACACAATGCCTTATTATTCAGCCTTACAAAGGAAGGAAATTCCAATACATGCTACAACATGCATGAACTTTGAGTACTTTATGTTAAATGAAATAAGCCAGTCACAAAAAGACAAATACTACATGGTTCTACATATATGAATAGGAAAATTAATAGACAGCAAGTAGAATTTGCCAGAGACTGAATGGTGGGAGGTATGAAGAATGGTTGTTTCATGGGTATAGAGCTCTAGTTCTGTAAGATGAAGAGTTCTGGAGATTGGCTGCACAGCAATATGAATGTACTTAACATTACTGACCTGTACAGTTAAAAAAATGGCTAAGATGATAAACTTTATGTTACCTGGATTTTACCACAATTAAAAATAAATGAAAACAAAGAAAAAGAAAGTAAAGAGCTACCTGTCTTAGTTGTACAGGCTGCCATAACAAAATACCATAGACTGGGTAGCTTAAATGGTAGACATTTTTTTCCTCATAGTTCTAGAGGCCATGATCAGAGTAACAGCATGGGTGGGTTCTGGTGACATTCTCTTCCTGGCTTATAGACAGCCACTTCTTGCTGTGTCCTCACACGGCCTTTGCCTAGTGCCTGTGTATGGAGAGATAGAAAATCTGATCTCTCTCTCTCTCTCTCTCTCCCTTTTTTAAAAGACCATTAACCCTATTAGATTAGTATCCCACCTTTATGACTTCACTTAACTTTATTCCCTCTTAAACATTCTATTTCTAAATAGTCACACTGGGGGTGAGGGATTCAACATATGAATTTTTGAGTGGGGACATAATTCAATTCATAGTATCAGGTGAATAGAATGAGGATGTGGTTCTAAAGGTCAATTAGGAGAAGACAATGAGAAGATGATATGATGTAGTGAGGAATAGGAGGATATTTTTAAAAAACTAAATGAGGTTTGGTTTTGCTGTACAATAAAGTTACATAGTAAATTTTTTAATGTCATATTCCCCACTGGACTGTGACCACTATTTGTATAGAAAAACATCTGTATTGTCTAGACTTTAAGTTTTTTTAAGTTAAGTGCATGTCACTTGTCACTTACTTGGAACATCTTGGCTACTCAATAAACAGTTGCCAAAAAACTCAGAGCACCAATAAAGTTAAAAATAAAAGAAGTAGGAAGGGGCAATGTCTCCAAAGCCTGAATGTTATTCTGAGGAACTGGGAATTTTATTGTGTGGGGTAAGGAACCACTGAGATGAGTTACACATGTTCAAGATATTACTTCCCTAGGATTTAGATGAACTACCCATGTGGAAGATGTGCTTGAGTAGGTGAAGAGAGAAGTGGGCAGGCTGGTAAAGAAGCTATTCCAACAGCTCAGGTGCAAGACCATGAGATAGCAGTAGGAGAAATAAAGTAGAGGAATGCATTTAAAGTGCATTAGGTTTGACCATATAAAATGGCTGTTATCTTTAACAAATAAGTAGCAAGACATGATGGCACACCAGAAGTGGCAGGAGTTGAGACAGTGAGAATAAGGAGACAGGGATGTATTGTACTTTTGTGGCTTGGGTGTCTGGCTGACTGGGACATTATCATCGAACAGGGAAAGATGAGGGCAATTAGTTTGGCAAGGACCGTAAATGGGGCTGTAAATGTTAACTTTTACTTTGAATCAGTTGAGCTGGTGGTACCTTGTAGATACCTATACAGAGATGCTGAGTCAACTATGTCCAACACGGCAGTCACTAGCCACGTGTAACTATTTAAAACTTGAATTAAAAATTCGGTCCTCAGTCACACCAGCTGCATTTCAAGTTCTCAACAGGCATATGTGGGTAGTGGCCATCATTTGGGATAACGCAGATACAGATTGCTTCCCTCATCATAAAATGTGCTATTGGTGGGGCACCTGGTTGGCTCAGTTGGCTAAGTGTCTAACTCTTGATTTTGGCTCAGGTCATGACCTTGGGGTTGTGAGATGAAGCCCCGCACTCAGCTGGGAGTCTGCTTGGGATTCTCTCTCCCTCTCACTCTACCCCTCCCCCTGCTCACGTGCTCTCTCTCTCAAAAAATACATAAAATAAAATTAACAAAAATTTTAAAAAGTGCTACTGGTCACAGTTGGCTGCAGAGCCACATTTGTGCAAACTGGGAAAAACGTCATTGTTGAAACCAGAGTGGGGATGAAATGAGTCAAAAAGCCCAGCTAGAAAAATAGTAAAAAGGAAGGGAAACTTGTGATGAGACACATGAAAGGGCAAAAGAGAGATGATTCCATGAAAGAAACAGGAAGGATGGCAGCAGAGGCCATCACAGACACCAACACAGGCAACCTTCCAGATGGACAGAGTGGGCGCACAGTCAGACACTGCAGACAGATCTGTGAGGTAAGGACGAGGCAAGACCCACTGGATTTGACTGTAGTTAGGTCACTGGTGATGCAGGTCACAGGCATAGGAGTAGAGACACCAAGGCCTCAAGCAGTAGACAGAAATGTGAATGTAAAGTGTTGGCAGCATTTGCTACAGAACAGAACTTTAAGTTCCCTGTTGAACTTGTTCAAGACACGTATTTGAGAGAAATATTCACAAAGAGCTATTTTCAGGACATGAATGTACCAGCTACTCATGCTGACCTCTAGTTAGTTTAAGTATTATCTCTGGAACTAGAAGAATAGTCAGGAAAAGGTCTACTTCTTCCATTTTATTTAGATGGACAACTGTATTAACAAAAGCCCCGCTTTGGCGATATGCCCTTACGTCCACTGGGGGAAAAGTGGGAAAAACATTCTACAATTATTTCTGGGTTGTTATTGGAAAGATCTGCACTATCACCTACCTGAAGATGAACAAAGACATTTTCCATGAGGAAGGCTTAAGATTCTCATCAACACAAATCTTGAAACAAATATCTGACTCTCTGCCATGGCTATCAGAAAGAAATCTGCACTACACTTTGGAAAATCTGTAACTTCCTAGGACTGCCATCTAGCCACATGTCAACATCTGCTTTTCTCTACCTTCCTTGAATAGTTCTGATCCATTTCCATTTCTACATTTCTATGTTAATTAATTACCTATAAAATCCATTATAAAAAAAGTGTATATAAATAACTCACCTGAGATGTGTTCATTTTCTGCTGTTGTTGGGAGAGTACAGAGAACTGTGATGGGTAAGCTGGGGATAAGGAAAGAGGAATGAAATTATGAGAGGTCTGGTGAGCTTTTGCCAGTATCCTAAAAAATCTCACCACACCCCCTGGGGTAAAGGTCTCCCTATGGAAAAATGTTCTGTTGACCCTTGAGAAGGGGCAGGAAGCACCACACAGAGACAGCACTCCCAGAATATGTAATACATCTCTGATATGATCATGTGATTGTAACCCTGTTGTTTTTCACTGGTGACTGTAAATTATTTCTTATTCATTTAAAAAATGTATATCTCCCTCTGACTAATCAACAAAAAAATTAAAACAGAGGGTAATATTAATATCCTATTATTTATACTTTGAGTTAGAAAATCAACAGAAAACTCTGGGGGAAAAAAGATGCTTAGTGCCAAAGTATTTTAAAATCATTTTGTTCTTTTGGTAAGACTTTTCATGAGATACTTCTAGTGACTTATGTGTGACAGAATGAACTGCACTGTGCTTTGCTCCTCGTTCTGTCGTGGGTGACCAGGGGACATACATCTCAGGCTCCTTTTTTTTTTAATTTCAAGAGTCAAAGATAGACATCCCCTCCAATACCATCATTTTATAATTCTTTATGTTCAGGATAAAGGAAGCCTCAGCATATCTCTAGATGCCACTTGTGATGGACACACATGAGAGTGGCTTAGAATCTGGAAAGAGGGAAAAATGAAGAAAATGGGGGACTCTTTAAGAAGGACTGAGACTGAATTTCCTTGGCTCTGGCTGTGGCTTTTCCTGTATGGCCTGATAGTCATTCACCTCTTTCAACCCCAGCTCACCACCTTCTGCAAGCTGGTCCAGTTTCCACTGTCACACAGTCTGTGATAGCTTCTGTATGTGGTAACATCACCAAGTCTGGCTCTTTCTGGACAAGGAAATTAGAACTGTTTCTGGTGGAGTAAATTAGGACCCACTCCTTTCTAGGTTCTTCTGCATGTTCTGAAGCTCTGGTGAGGGTGGTTCCTGTCAGATGAGCTCTTCTTCCAGGTGGGACTCCTGTCCCCAGAGCTCCTCTCCTGCCTGGCACACAAGAGTTACTTTGTTCCAGACGTGGAGACTTAGGCCTAGGAAACAAATTCCTCTTAGTTGAAACTTTCACTGAGAACAGTTTCTCAACTTCAGCAGTGCTGACATTTTGGGCTGTATAATTCTTTATCACATGGGGGCTGTGCATTGTAGGATGTCTAGCAGCATTTCTGGCCTCTACCCACCAGACACTAGTAGCACTCCTCCTCGGTTGCGACAATCCAAATCATCTCCAGCCATTTCCAAAAGTTCCTCCCTCCCTCCCTCCTTCCTTCTCTTCCTCTTTCTTTTCCTTTATTTTCTTTTCTCTCTTTCTCTCCTACCTTCCTTTTCTTTCCTTTCTTTCCTTCCCTCCCTTTCTCTTTCTTCCTTCCTTTCTTCTTGCTTTCTTTCTATTTTTAAAATTATATGGTTGATACTAAGGAAAGAACCCAGATGTCCATCAACAGATGAATTGATAAAGAAAATGTAGTGTATACACACACACACACACACACACACACACACACAAAATGCTGGACTATTACTTAGCCATCAAGAAGAATGAAATCTTGCCATTTGCAACAACATGGATAAAACTAGAGAGTATCATAGTTAAGAGAAAATAGTCAGAGAAAGACAATTATCACATGATTTCACTCATATGTAGAATTTAAGAAACAAAACAGGATCATAGGGGAAGGGAGATAAACATAAGAGGAAAATAGGGAGACAAACCATAAGAGACTCTTAACTATAGGAAAACAAACTGAGTATTGCTAGAGGGGAGGTGGATGGGGGCATGGGGTAACTTGGTGGTGTACATTAAGGGTGCACATGATGTAATGAGCACTGGGTGTAATGTGCAACTGATGCATCACTAAACTCTATCTCTAAAACAATACACTATATGTTAATTAATTGAATTAAAATAAAATTAAAAAAATAAAATTACATGGTTATACCTGTAAGTAGGGTGGCAATAAAGATTAAGTTAAATACTAAATAAAAAAGAACAAAGTGTCTTCCAAGTATGATGGAAGCCAATACTACATGTTGGCTTATACCTTGTACCTATTAGAGCTTACCCACTAGCACTTGGCTAAACGCTTTATAGACGATGACTTATCTCTTTCCGAACAACGCCACAAAGCAGTTTTTACTAATATTCCTATTTTCAGATGAGAACCTGACTTATGCCCAAGTGACAAAGGAGGAAATTACCCGATCTTTCTGGCTTAAATTTAGGGTCAAGACCGGGGCGCGCTGTATGCCAGTTTGACGGTCTATATCCAATACCCTTAAAGCACATTACCCTCCGGCCGCCAGCAAGGGATCTTCCCAGGGCCGGCTGCAGTAAGCTCCCGCACTCCCGTCCACAAGTAACATCTTCCTACAGCACTCGCCCCATCTGGGTCCCCGGAGCCCGCGGGGCTGGGGCCCGCCCCCAACCGCCTTTGCCAGGTCTAGGTTCTCGTCTGGCTCCGACATAAGCGGCGGGGCTCCGGCCTTGGGGAGAGCGGGGAGTTCCCGAGACGTTCGAGTCCCTTCCTCGGGCCACAAACCCACCTCGCCCCCGCCGGGTGCGCGGAGGCCCAGGAACCCACGCCCAGCTCCTCTCACCTGAGGGCAAACCTGCCGCACCCTCAAGGCCTGAGAGGGCGGAAGCAGGGAAGTGGGGTTGATTGCACATGCGCATGGGAAAGTCCAGGATATCCGTTCCTAGAATGCAGCTCGGTGAGCGGTGGCATTCGGGACTACATTTCCCATAGAAACGCCGCGACTCCTCGCGGATTTCGAGTGTGTCGGAGCCGGCGTGGGGACGGGGCCGTAAAGAGGGAGTGATAAGATGAACGGCCTGTATTAATAGCTGGAGCCCAGGTCCTACCAAACCCCAGAGGTTATGGGTTAAACTTTGGCGTAAGATGAAATACAGTGTGTGGTCATGGATCAGATCCTGATAGGAGAAAACAAGAAGACATTTGGGAACTGGGGAAATTTGTGTATGGATATTAGAAATATTAAGGGAAGTTATTAGTTTTGTTAGTTGTGATAATAACATTGGGGTTATGCAGGGACGTTTACTTTTAGAAATGTATATTAAAATACTTAACATTATATTACATATTTGTAATTGAAAAAAATAACTAGAAAAAGATTTCTACCTATATGGATATATGGGTATGGGTATGCTCTATATGGGTATATCTGGGTATGCTCTAGTGTATGCGTATGCTCCTTTTACTAGTTTCTACTTCTCTATGCAATTGGAAGTTTTGTAATATAAAGTTTATAAAGGGAAAATTTTGAACTGTTTTTTTTTTTTTTTTCCCAAAAGTGAGCCTTTTAACTCAGAGCTGCCAAAAGAAGAAAAAATACGTGTGTCAAATAACAAAACTAAAAACAGTAACAAGTTTAATATCCTTTACTCAAGAGAAAACAAACCGTAGAGCACTCTCAGTTCTGAGGGATTTTGGATAAGAGCAAATTTTATTAATAGAAATTTCCTTACAAGGCTAAGTAAAAGTTTCCTTATAAAGGTACAGTCAGCTAGTTATAGCTGAATTGTGATTGGCATATGTTAGGTGTCTTTGACAATGAGAAGAGTACCATTAGATCAGGCTGACAGGTTTAGATTTGTGACTTGGGCCCTCATTTTGTGGGCACCAATATACAATTAATTTTACCACATGTAAACAGCTTTTGTGAATAAAACTGTAAAGTATAACAAAGACCAGGAAATGGAGCCTATCATTAACCTAAAAGAGCAATATTTGTGATCCTCAGACTTTATCTTTAGGAAAAAAAGTAAGTTGTTATATATTCCATAATACCTGAACATACACACAACTCAATAAAAAACAATTATCATTCAAATTATTCATCTCCTATATTTGCATACTTCTGAAATTAAGAACCAAATTGGGAACCTTAAGACATTTTGGCTGTCTTTGTGTATATATGTTTATACATACAAAATGTACATACATATATAAACACACTTTTCTTGGTTGTTATTTTTTAACAAATTATTTTATATGGCAATGATAAAAAGAGAGTTTTGATTAGCAAGAAAAAAGAAAGATTAATGTTGCCAGTAAATTATTGGAACTTATGTGAATCAAGGTATAAAACTTTATTGTTGACACTTAAGAAACTTCAATAAAAAAAAGAAACTTCAATAAATACCAGTTTTCTAGATGAAAACAATATAATTAATTAAAGTTCCAATCAGAATTCTAAAAAAGTTTTCTATGTATGTTTTTTCTCTTTGATATTTATATATTTTGTTTGTTAAACATGAACTATTCCAATTTTTATGCCAATAAAAACTTTTAGTAATGGTCAAAAGAAAACTGAAAATGCATAGCAATGAATCTATATTAGCATGTACGCTATTGCTAAAATATTTAAAAACTGATCCTGGTGCAAGAAAAGTTCAAGAAGAAAAGAAAGTGAGAAGGTAGTATGTGTTAGAGCTGGGGTTTGAGCAGTGGAAGAACATTGAATAATTTTGTTAGGACAGTGAGGTAGGTGCTAGAACATAGCAAGGCCATATCTGTGGAATTTATATTACAATAACTTTTATAGTGATTCAAGTATATGCAATTAAAAGACAATTAAAATATTAAAATAACTTTCATGATTCAAGTATATGCAATTAAAAGACAATTTCTAGAGTTTTAAAATTAAAATTTCTAAAGTTCCTAAGTTCTTAAACTTAAGAATTTGTATTCTTAGAGAATACAAATATTTTAAAAATATAAGGTCTCTCAGCTCCTTTCTAGGAAACCCTACCTCTTCACTCCTATCCCATGCCTGAGACCTTGCTCCATGCCTGAGAAATACTGGCCTGGTGTGCTGAGATGGGCCACACACCCATCCTCCCCTACCCCACCTGAATCCAATGCTGTCAATGTAGATGCAGCGTCGCGATAGTTACTAATACATATTTGCAGAGGGGTGCTTTGAGGCTATAAAACATACTGTTTCTCCTTAAAGTATCATTCACCAGTTTAGCATTCATCTGCGGAGCTTGCCTGATTCAGTTATTATTCTGGTGTTCTAACGGTGATTTTTAATTTCCCTCATTAGTTTGAGAAAGCATAAAGCAGCCTGTAATGTGTGGGAGCTGGCCTGACACTTAGAGAGAGCTTGGCTGTGAGTAAAAGCTGTCCTAGTGCTCATAGCTAAACAGTGGTGTTTTCTTGCTGCATGTAAATGATCTCACTGAACACAAGCGGACAAGGTCATTTTGTGACCATTATGATGTAACACAAACAAGATCATTATTTTGCATGAGTAAAGACAAAAGCTCTGCCACTCTTAAAATACCAAACATCCCCCTCTCAGCTGATGCAAGTGACTGTTGCATTTTTTTTTTTTTAAACAACACCCAATCCTGAACAAATTCAGCAGCTTTGGAACCAAGCAAAATGAACTAACTAAAGCTCAAATCCTGTAATTTCTTTCTAACATTCTTTTACTGAAACCCTTTATCATTTCCATGTAATCTGTGCTCTATCTCTTAAAATGACTATTAAAATCTTAATTGTTCAATTTACATGTGTGTTCTTTTTTTTTTTTAAGATTTTATTTATTTATTTGTCAGAGAGACACAGCAAGAGACTGAACACAAGGGGGGGGCGGCGAGAAACAGACTTTCCCGCCAAGCAGGGAGCTTGATGCAGGGCTGGATCCCAGGACCTTGGGATCAGGACCTGAGCTGAAGGCAGATGCTTAATGACTGAGCCACCCAGGTGTCCTTGCATGTGTGTTCTGATAGTATTTGGCTGAATTACAATGACATCTTCTATAGTTATTGATTGGAATTCTGCAAGGAAGATTTGTCCCTTCTCTGCTATGTACTTTTTAATTCAGTCATTTTTTTTAATCTATATGGACAAGTGGAGATTTATTTCACTCTTTGCACTACAATCCATTACTGTATTTTTTATTTTGCTGAATATGTGCCATCTTTGGCCATTGGGAGCTCGTTCAGACTGGTTCTGTATTTTTTTTTTCTTTAAATAGGCTTTATTTGTAAAACAGGTTCACAGCAAAATTCTGTGGAAAATATAGAGTTCTTATATACTTCCTGCCTCCATACATGTACAGCCTTCCCCACTAGAAATATCCTGCACCAGAGTCTGGTACATTATTACACTTGATGAACCTATGCTGATAAATCATTATCCTC